CATAGCAGACCACTAGCACATTTTTTTGCAATGTTCTGAGAGTAAGTAAGATTTGGAAGTTCACCAAAGAGTAGAGTCAAATAATTCCTTGCACTCAGGTGAAACACCTTCTCCAGATTTGGGCACTAAGCTTTCAGATGGATGCAAAGCGTCCCCACGCAATCATATATAATCAAAGATTATAACAGTGAAAAACAGGTGACAGATGAAGCAAAGTCAAAATAATTGTCTGTTTAATGAGAAAAAGTGAAGATTTGGAGAGTGAAGAATGGTTTGTCATCTGATATTTAACAGATTGTTATAAAAATAATATTTATCCCTTCAATTGACATAAAGGAGGATTTAAGTAGTAATAGACTTTATTTGTAGTCAGGAAATTAAAAGTTGACATAGGTAATTCTGTAAGAACAATTAAATGGTGTTACAGGTTACCAAGGAAAAATCACTAGCTATTCAATGTTAGAACTTTTAATTAGAGATAATTATCTTTGAGTTACATTTCGTATAATTTCTGGGCCTCTTGTTCAGCTTTCTGCTCCTATTGCATTTTTTGTTCGGGGTCCTTTGAGCAGTTTCCAGGTGCTGTGGGGATACACAAGTCACTTCCAAGCTGATGATTGCAAAGCAAAAGGACGTGTCTGACAGTGCAGTAACTGTCAGAACACCTGTGCACACCTGAAAACGGACAAAGTGGCCCCAAAACGGATCTGCTTCTGGTTCAGAAAGTACATACAGAGTAAGAAATGCATGGGAGTGAACACCAATTTCCTACAAAATAGCAGATTTCTAAGGGCAACTCCCATGTGATTTTTGCAAGCAGTAACTTTATTGGCTTCCTACTTGCTTCTGTTTCTCTGTTCATTTTCTTCCAGCACTCCGTGTTCTCTGAGTCAGGGATCTGCACAGCTTGTCTACATGTGACATTCACAGTGCTCCTTAAATAGATATATACAAAACCATAAAGTTTTCAGGACAGGCAGTGTTTTTCTTGGTTTTGTGCAGCCCCCAGCACACAGGAGTCCAGGCAGAGGAAGTATCTGTGTGTGGGTACTGCACACAGCAAGGAGCACTCACCAGGGAGGTGTTCCACACGGTCACACCCCTCAGCACAGCCCTTCACACGTGGGGAAAAGAGGAGCTGGTGTTCTGCCTTAGTTGTATAACTCTGTGTTCTTCTGCTCCTGTAAATCAGTCCTTCTGACTGCAGTTTCAGGAGTGGTTTTGTGCAAGTGTCACGCTGGGTCCCAGCTCTGATACCCTGAGCACTTAAAAACTGACAGAGCAGCCTGGCCCAAAACAAGATATTTAATGTCTCTAGTCAGCCTCTAAACATTCATTTATGAACGCGTTTGGCCTGATTTATGGACGCACCTTGTAGTAGAGCATGCTGGACAATTACACAAAAACACAAAGCAATCTATTTCTAAATCACTTCTAGTGAAAATGAAGTCATCTCTGCTTTATGTAACTTGGCTGTTGTTACAGGTCATGGCAGTTACATAGCATTTTCTTCCCAGAGTTCTCTCTTGGTTCCGAGTTTTGAAATGCTGCTACCTGATGTGTGATGCATTTTTCATTGGCTGCAGCAGTACTACATTAGGTGAGTCTGCTAATAGGTTTGAGCAGCTCGAACTGGGTAGGGCTGTCCCAAGGTGTGGGTGTTGAGAGGCTCAGGGTCCTGCTTTGAGAGACCTGAGCTGAGGGGAGCTGTGTATTTGTGGTCCCTGTATTTGTGGTCCTTGTCTGCTAAAATGATTGCTGGAGAACCTCGCCCTAAACGAGCTGTGCATGTGCACAGAGTTTAGCTAAGCTTTTAAGTAAAAGTAAAACGAAAAGCTTAAGTATTTAATCCTCTTTAAAAAAAAACCCCACAACCCACTGATACTGGCAGTATCCTTTTTAGGCTCCACCACCACATTTGTTTATATGCTGCTTCTGGGAAGGAAAGAATAAAACGAAATAAGCTTATTGGGTTTGATCACAGCTTGTTTGGTCCCGCAACTGTGTGTTATAATCTTGTTAAAACAGTATATGTAGACTGGATTCAGGCAGTAATCCTTTGAGCAAAGAGATAAGTTCTGTCGAAGGCCCTGCAGTCCTTTATGTGTCACATTAAGCCATTTGATTTTTACAGGAATGCCAACCTGTGTGTCAGTTTGTAGAACTGGCCCAAGCCCCCCTGACAGGAGGAATGGTGCCACTCTGATCCCAACTGGATGTGAGCAGGAGGTGACTCCTGTCCTTCTGTAAGGACTGTTTGTGGTGAGAGAGAACACGGATGATGGTTCATTCCTAGTGTAGGGCAAGTTGTACAGATCTTTTGTATGGGGGTTTTTAACTTTGTTATCAGACTGGCAAACCTATGATTTTATCACTCTGTCAGTCCATCAATTACACTCTATCTGAGTTTCAAGTATCATATAAATTAAAATCTTCTGGACTGTTGAAAAGTGTAAATATGTAAATGCAAGGAAAGCAGACCTGGAAATTCCTCCTTTGGGGTAGTTTCAATGATTATTTTTTTTTTTAACATTTTGATAAAGCACTTGACTATTTCTGAATTGAGAAGCTGCTCTTAATATTTTAATTTCATGAGAATAATAGTGAGTGGATAATTTAAGTTAAAATGATTGCTACTTTAGGCTCCACTTGGGCTCACTTTTGTCCATAGAAAGACTTCTAATGACCGTATCATTCTTTCTAGTTTTTCACTTTTCAGTTTAACTTTCAAGCCAGGATATTTTGGCTACAGCTCTTTTTAAAGTTGCATTTATTTATGCAAAATTTTAATTTGAGAGAAAATGTGTTCTTTTTAAGGACATCAGCAGCCACGCTTCCTTAGGGGATTGAATGCCTTAGACCTGGAGAAAAGGGGAGCGGACTGTTCACCGCAGCACTGATGGCTGCAGTGCCTCAGCCCGTGCAGGTCCCTGGGAATCCCAATATCCCATTAGCAGCACCTCTCAGTCATTCCCTCTCCTGCCTGCAGCAGTCTGGGGTCCATCCAGCACTGCCAGGTAGAGGTTGGAGCTGGTTGCTCCCTGGCAGGAGCTGGCTCGGGTCACCTGCCCTGGGCAGAGCTTGGCACAGGGGCAATTCCAGCCCATCAGTGATTGCACTGAGCGATCACAGAGCAGGAGTAGGCAGGTCCCAAGGTCAGTGAGGCAGGAGAGCTTCCCCAGGGAGTGTGGCTGGGGAGCTTTCAGCCTGCTTCCACTTTAAACACGTGCTGGGGAAGTCGGGATTCACTGCAGGGCTGGGAGCTGAGCTCTCTGTGCAGCCTGGTTAGACCGAGCTGCTGGTTCAGCTACTCTGGAGCTGTAGGAAGGCCTGATCTACAAACTGCTGGAGAGTGGCTCGTTCCAGCAGCAGAAATGATCATCAGAAATAAGTGTATGAGACAGGGCGAACGTCACCCGGAGACAGGGGGTGCATCCCGCTCTCTCCAGCCGGAACGGCGGAACAAAGATGGTGATTTTGTCTCAGTGGGGGGCGGAGAACACGCAAAGAGGAACTGAAAGATAAATCCAGCGTTGCCCTGGCAAGACACATTCGATTTGAGCTGAAAAGGTCACTGCCCACCACATGATTGCATCACCCACCACGCCAGGGCCGGTGAAGGGATGAGGCTGTGACAGGTCCTCTGCTTTCACCAGGGGTGAGGCATTGCAGGTGGAGTTTGCTGAAAAAACCCCAGGAAGTGAATACAGATATCATGCTGAAATGTAACAAACAGGAAAAGAAGAGGGTTTTTTTCCAATACTTTTTTTCTTAAACTGGATAAACATTTTCTCCGTTGTTTGCGCATTTTGTTATTCCAAAAGCGTAGCTTTTAAAATTGCTTTAGCTGTCAGCTCTTATTCACTGTAACTAAAGCACTCATAGGGCTGAAGAGAAAGTCCATTTTTTAAAATGTTCTTTCAATAAGGAGTTTTCCAGGGTCACTTAGTAAGATTCCAGGCATTTCCCCGTTCAGTTTTTTATGCTTGTGTGGATGGACATCGCTGCCTGGGAGGTTTCTGAGGAATTCCTAGCAAGTATTTTAGTTGGAAGTGTGTCTGTTTTGTTGTATAAGGACTCCTGATCCTATGCAAACGACTTGATGATCAGAGCATTCAGCACTGTGTGACCATACAGGGCTCGGCACCTATTTCAGTTGGCAGGTAACAAACTCGGTGTTGATCCAGGGTTAGAGGGTTTTTACAGGTTTTCCTCTTGTCATGGTCTGTGTTTTACAGTGTTTAGCTGATCAACTGTAAAAAAATCCCTGAGTAGTTCGAAATAACTGTCTATAAAAAGGCTTTGTTTTCTTGGCTGTTTCTTTCTAGCCCCAAAATTATAAAAGAGGGAATTAATATCTCCCAGCAGGGAATTGGATTTGCTAAAATGTCACCACCAATCTCTTAATTAGCCCCTCAGAACACCATGCTGTCTCTCGGTCCTCAGTGGGATAGAGTCTGAGTGGAAGTGAATAGGAGTTTATTCTTAAATAACAGAACTAAATAACTCCTAAACAACAACAATCACAGTTGCAAAGTCAGAGGGCATGTGGGAGATTCTGTACAAGAGCTGCATTTCAAAATATCGGCTGACTGACTTAGAAATCTGGAGGTTGATGAAAAAATAAGTATTAGATACAATTCTTGTAAAAGGATTAATGTTTGCATTCAAAATTACACTTTCCATTGATATGGCTAAAAACCAGAAAAATTTCTTCTAGTGGTCTGTAAGATGTGTTGACTCCAGTCATTAATCGATTGATTTATGTGAAATTGAAACTTCTTTCCTGTGTTTTAAATCTGATTTTTTTTCCCCAGTTCTTCTAAGATGAGGGTGTCTCGACCAGAGCTGTTCTCCCAGTGAGGGGGATGTTGGAGGGTGTCTGAGAACTCCCCTTTTTTTATAACACCCGTGGAGGGAACGAGCACAACTGTCATTCCTGTTGTCTCTTCACAGGATTGTCCCTGCTATAAACTCCTCCTAATGTGTTCATCTCCAGAGCACCAAGGACCAAAGGGGGCTGCCTGAGCCACTCAGAGGTTTCTCAGGGATGATGCATAAGGAATATTCATCTCCAGGCACCAAAGACCTCTGGAAGACATAACACCCATTTCCCCGAGGAGACAGAGCTCTACAACATCTTACCGAGGGTCAGTGCAGTAGAGGAGCTGTGTGAATAATTAATGGTTCCTTCCCTAAAATATTCTAAAAATGAAAATTTCATATTAACCTGAAAAAATTTCGTTGGCAAAGAAAGGCAGAAATTACAAATAACTGAGGACCAGTTGACATGCTTTGTCCAAAACGAAATTAAATGTTCCCATTCCTTCTTTTTTTTTTTAGGTGTTTTAAGACTTCTTTTTAAAAATCAGGGTAAAAAAGAAAAACGTAGGATTTTTTGCGTTCTTATTTATGTTGGGAGAGGGGGTAAAATTTCAACAAAATATTCCTCGACTAATGTGCAGTCACTTGGTAGACACAATGGAGTTGTCCAAGGAAGTCACAGTTCTAAGTCAAAATTCAAAGTGAGGGGTATATCTGTTCAGTTTGGTTTCTGCTAATTCAGTTGGGAAAAAGTCTGTGAAAAAAACCCGATTTCTTTGATGCCATTTTCAAGATTTTTCTGTACATTATTAGAGCTCTACTTTAGCATCATTGTAATAGTAATTACTCACTTCAAAGTGGGGTCATTAGCCCTAATTAATATTTACAAATACACTAGCGTTGAGGTGACTCTTGTTCTGAAAGACTGGAATATTTTGTCTTAGTAACATATCTCAGCACTCCAAAAGTGCTTACAGCACTTTTCCACTCAGTCTTAGCTGCAAAATAGGTCAAGACTGTCAATTTTCCTCGTTCCCTGACTGTAATGTAAATTCTGCTCTACCAGACTTCAAACAAAAGATTAGTTTGTACCAAGTTTGCAGATCTTTCCAGCAGTGTCTTAATTTAAAAAACACTAATTACTTGAGCTATTTTTTCACATGTAAAGCTTCTCCTCATTGTACAAACAGATGTCATCGTTTTGGCTGCATCTCCGTAAACTTTTAGGAAGCCATCAGGTTTATTAACATTTTCTGTATTTATAGAAAACTATTTCTTTGTGAATATCAGGCTGTGCTGTTATGTACAGATGATGGTTTGTAGAAATACCGTGCCTGCTTCTCCCACAGTGGGACTGTGGGCATGTTAGAGGAGCAAAGCTTTAATTCTGCCTTTCAGTGGCCAGATGGCCAGAATGTTTGTGTGGGATTTTTTTTTTTTTTAATTGTTGTTGTTGCTGCTTTCCATCATCTCCATTGGAAATGTAAGTGTTGTTATTCTAATCCTATAGTCTTTGCGAGAAAAGTGAAATTCCATCTGCTATTGACTCAAGGAAGCTGGGGGGAAATCAACAGAAAACACTGTTTTCTGGGCAGCATTTGTTGCCAATTCTGAGCCCAAAAAACTCCAGCCACTGTGCATGAAGAGCTCTGGATAGCTGGTGATTTAACCTGGTGGCCAAGGCAAGGCACATTTCGTTAGGAATCTTCCTTTGTTCCTGTGGTTTGTACTGTGTCCTGCTTCCACACCACAGAACTTCTCAAGGTGTCTGTAAAATGACAGCAAACTCACCATTAAACAGACTTTGTATTATATTGCTTAAGTTAAAGACGTGCTAAATCAGGGGTACATTCTCAATCCATAAAAATACCTTCGCTGTCAAGGGCCGAACTTCAGCAGCCTCAGCTACTGTGCAATTAGTTGAGTAGGAGTCGTTGAGCTGTTGGTGTCTTTCCTTACACATGGCCTTGCTTCCGTGATTGTGGCTGTGAATTTGGATAGACTGGGAAAACTCAGGGGAGGGAGAAGGGCAAGGATTCCTTTGATCAGTCCATTTTCCCCTGACTATCTTTCACAATGGCATTTTTTCGTTAGGTGGCATTGCCAGTCCTGTTCCTATCCCGGGTTTTCCTTTGCCACTCCTTCCTTTGGCTGCAGCGAGCTGCAAGTCTGACCTCCCCTAGTCTCACATCCCTACTGAACAGGTTTGGGAGACCTTGCACCCTCCTCCTGTATTGCCTCGAGCCTCCCTGCTGCAGCCTTGCAAAGCCGGTTTGGAGGTAAATGGCTGGAATTCCACACAATGGAGACCATCAGTGGCTGGAATTCCACACAATGGAGACCATCAGTGGCTGCAGTTTGACACAAGGGAGCCCATCAGTGGCTGCAGTTTGACACAAGGGGACCATCAGTGGCTGCAGTTTGACACAAGGGAGACCATCAGTGGCTGCAGTTTGACACATCAGTGGCTGCAGTTTGACACAAGGGGACCATCAGTGGCTGCAGTTTGACAAAAGGGAGACCATCAGTGGCTGCAGTTTGACACAAGGGGACCATCGGGTTTTACCAGATATCTGCAGTCAGTGGTTTGTGGCCCTGCTGCTGCCTGCTGTAGACTGTCTTCCTTGAGAGAGGCTTGCCTGGTCTGTTGGAAAAGCAGGAGCTTACCCTGTCTCCCCTTGTTCCACTGCAGACGTAGTGATATGGCTGCAAACGCTTCCAGCATCCACAAATTTGGGGGTTTGGCCTTGCTTCACCTGCATCTCTCCCTCGCAGGATAATGGAACAGAACCATGGAATCTTCAGGGTTGGAAAAGACCTCCACGGTCACCGAGTCCAACCTTGGAAGGCCTTCCATTCCCACAGCTCACAGTTTAGGGATGTGTAAGCTCAAAAGCAGCTCCTGCCACCTGCAGTGCCAGTAAAACCTGGGATCTTCTAGAGAATTTGCAGCCTTTCTTGTTCCTGGGGGCTTTTAACAAACAGTTACAGCTCCAGAGCGTTGGAGTGCCATGGACCACAACTGCAGAAAACAGCTTTCAAAGTGTAGTAATGCTCCAAGGTTATTTTATCTTCTCTCTGAACTAATTCAAAATTCTGCCTAGTCCAGGGGAGCTGAGTAAAGACAAGGTAAAACAACAAGTTATATAAATAATTGTTTCGGCTGTGTCTCTTAACTTTGACTTTTTATTTTTTCCCACAAATCAAGGGTAGACATAATGGTATTTTTCCCTAAGGAATTGTATTTTTGCTTTTAACAGGTTATATGAGAAGCTGTTGAACAAAGTAATATATAGGAAAAGTGAATTACTGAGCTTAAGGGATATCTAAGGAATGAATTTGGGATTTTCAGTCAGTATTAAGGAAAACCTCTTCCGAAGCTGTGACAGCAAGAATAAATAGCTTAAAAGAAGTTAACAAGCTTTGAATAGAATCGAACCGTTAAGCTTTTTGCAAATGAATGTTTATTTTTGCTCTGCAGAAGCAGTGATATGTATTTAGTGAGGTGTTTTGGATGTCTCTAAGCTTTAAAGCTGAAGTTCTGCATGGTGGTGAGTATTTCGTCTGTTGTCTGATAATAACATGTTTTCCTCAGAGTAACCTGCTTACCCTGTCTGCAGGAGCAGTCCCGGAGTCAGAATCAAACCAAAGACTTTTAAGTGGGGCGGAGGGAGCAAATGGAACGTTTTTCTGGAAAAAAAAAAACCATTGTCACCGAAAGAGTTGGTGAAAGATTTGAGAATTTGAGGAGTCACTGGGAGCCACACACCTTAGTGGCTGGTGTGTGCTGTGTCATAGACACGCTGGTGTGGAAGCATCAGCTCAGAGAAATTCTCTGTCAGGAGATATGTTATAAAATATTTATACGTGCTGGTTCTCGACAGTGACATTGTACCTGCCGTCCAGGAGGAACCGTCCTCAGTTCTGTTTTGTGCTGAAATTATTTACATTCATCTTATTTCTGAGGCCAAGCAGTGTTTCATACTGCATACTTTCATGCTTTTTATGCTATGTTTACGTAGAGAATAATGCTTATTCTGAATTTTGTAGTTGAGACTGTTTTGTTATGATGAAATAGACATTTTTTTCTAGCTAGAAATAATAGTGCATCTGTGATGTAGGCAGCCTAAGATTTATACGGTCTTTAAAGGCTCGTTTTCTTGCTTTTAAGTACTTGGCTTTTTAAATGAGGTGATAGATAACTCTGTTGTTCACCCAGATATGAGGGAGGGATCTAAACCAGTCCTTAGTACTTCAGTGTAGTTTTTTTATCTGCATTTCACCTGACTGCAAATATCTCCATGCACTTGAAAAATGCACGTTTGTGCTATTAACTTGTTTTGTGATGTGCCTGGATGAAGGCAGAAATTTCGGTACGTGTAAATGCATCACACTGCGTAGAACCTCCCTGGATTTGTTTTAAATGGATAATGCCTTTTTGGCTTCGTCCTTTTTTAGGAGAGAAACTGAGAGGAATAAGTCTCTCAGTTACCAAATGGGGGAAATTTTATATGTTGTTTGTTGGGGTTTTTTTTAAGTAAATGAATTTTATTTATAAGGTTTTAACGGAAATATTTTCTAATAATTTCCAAAGTAGACAATATGTTTTAAAATATTTTTATCCATGCTAGAGAAGCTTGCTCCTCTAGGCATCATTATCAAGATGCAGTCCAGTTTTGTATTATGATATACTGTGATATCAATGGACAGGTAGAAGAGCAGAGACAATAGATTAAGAAAGAAAGAGAAATTGTAATATATTTTTAACTTAGAAAGATATTAAACTTTTAGAACACTCTGCAGTTGTCACGGAGCTGAAGATACATGCTGGCTGTTTGGGGTGGTTGTTAAATCTCTGCGTGTGCTTGGGGTCCCAGATGATCTCTGTAGTGGTTCCCCTACGCGTTAAATAATGGGGAAAACTATCATCTGTGGGACTGGAAGTCCAGCTTCTTCAAAAATCCTGGGTCGTTTTCTTTCTGCTCAGAGAGCAGGAGAAAAATCTGTCTTATTAGTCAGAACATAAAGAAATTCACACATTTAGGGGTAAGTTTTGTCCTGGGCTGATAAGAGGCAGTTCCCACACCCCTCCAGCATTCATTGCTCTGAGTGCTCCTCGTTTGCACAGGAGGATCTTGCTGGTAGCACACACAACACTCCTTTAGATGAACTCACCGATAAAACTGATAAATTCTCGCTGTCACCGGGAGTTGAATTCGGTCTCCTGGAGGTCTCCAGAATACCCTTAAACGTTTTAAGTGTTAGGCATCGCCTTCAAATATGGCTGGCAGGTGAGATTTTAGGGAGATTTAGTTAAGATGGCGTGGGGGCAAAGCTGAAAGGAGCATTAACAAGGTGTTAAAACAAGATTTTGATGTTTCTTTGTGAGAATCGTTTCATGATCACTCTCTACAACTCCCTGAAAGGAGTGGGGGTTGGTCTCTTTTCCCAGGCAACCATCAGCAAGACAAGAGGGCTCAGTCTTAAGCTGTGCCAGGGGAGGTTTAGGTTGGATATTAGAAAGAATTTCTTTCCAGAGAGGGTGCTCAGCCATTGGAATGGGCTGCCCAGGGAAGGGGTGGATTCTCCATCCCTGGAGGTTTTCAAGATGAGACTGGATGTGGCATCAGTGCCATGGGCTGGGAACCACAGCAGTAGTGGATCAAGGTTTGGACTTGATGATCTCGGAGGTCCCTTCCAACCCAGCTGATTCTGTGATTCTGTGATTCTATGACTCAGTAGTGGGGTTTCACAGTTTGCAGAAGAATTGTCCTTTGTCTTCCCAACAGCCCCGGGTCGTTTGGCCTTTGGGGCTGAGGAGGGCAGGACTTCAGAAAGGAGATTTCTGCAGTGGCTGCAGGGGTAGGTGTCAGTGTTACCTCTGTCCCAGCAGCTGCCCCACGGGCTCTGCAGCCCTGCTAAATCCTGCTTTAGCCCAGCGTTGCATCGCGTGGATCGTGATGCAGCAGATCGGAAATTTAAAAAAACAAACAAACAACACAGCAAAGTACAAAGTGTTGATCGTAAATTAACGAGGAGAGATCATTCATCCTGATCCTTCTCTGCCATAAATCACTTCTGGGGAATTTCTGCAAGGAGACTCTTAACCCCCCCTCTGTGTGCAGCTCACACCGCAGTCCCGGTGATAAAGCGGGCTGAGTTTGGAAACGCTCAGCCGGGACTGCTGCCAGAAAAGTAACCCTGGGTCCACTCCCCACTGCCAGTTCAAGCTGTTGTTTCCTCTGTGCTGGCAGGTGTTTGCTGCAGCTGAGGCTGGAGAACCGATCTGGACTAACACAAACCGGTTTAACTCTGCCAGGGTGCTTTGCACTCAGGTGAGTTTCCTGGTCAAGTTTGGCACTTGGTGGAGAAACAGCTCTACCAGCTCGAGGACATCACAACGTCCAGAATAAAGCTCTAAATGGACTCTATTTATGTTTAGTGGCCGCCCTGGCCGGTGCTTTAGGAATACGAGTTAAGCACCCACAGATTTCAGCTGGACAAGTTACAGAGGCTACGTGTAAATTAATTAAGGACCTGAAAGCTGTCCACAAGACAGTGTTTGTGTGCATTATTTCAGATGTCTTTAATTCTGAATTTGTGGAGAGAAGAGGATTAAGGAAGTGGATTAAGGAAATGAATGAATTGATGAATTAGGGAATGGAGAATTTTAGAATTCCCCCAGCCTCACTGAAATCCTTTTATTCCAGGTTTCTTTGAGTTACAATGTGACTGCAAGCAGGTTTAGCTTCTGCTGCCTTGTTTATTAACATTTTTAGAACCTTTCTCTAAAAATAAATGTCATGGAAAACAATTACAGTAACTGCAGAAAATAAGCAAAGGAACAACACAGGACAGGTGTCAAACCCAGTGTGATTTGTTCCAGGGACACAGGACCTCACACTAATCAAGGTAAAATAGATGGAGCATATCCTTGACATGAATCGTGCTGCTGGTATAAGTGCCTCAGAACTCGACAAAACTGAAATCTTCACCAAGGCAGCTGCAGGACAAATTCTTGAAGACATTTGTAAGAGCTATCTCACATCACATGGACAGCAGTCAAACTAGAAGAGATAAAACAGTGTTTTCATCAATGGGCTTATTTTTTTTTCTGGGTTTGTTTTTTTTTGTTTGGTTGGTTTTGGGTTTTTGTTTGGCTTTTTGCTTTGTTTTGGGTTTTGTTGTTTGCTGCAAGGGAGATACAGAAGAAGTTGCAAAGGGGAATGTTTGCTTGTGGTTATGTTTTTATAACTGAATCCATTGTCAAAGCCAACAAAATAGATGTTTAATATTTAGCTGTGGCTCTTGAAAGCCTCCAGGCTGTCTCAGGTTTCCTGCTTTGGGGAAGCTGAAAGATTTTTAACTCCATTATCAGTATTTTTTACACCTTCCTATGCTTAGGACAAGTGCCCTTGAAAGGACAGCACCTTTGGATTGGCTGATTGTCATGTAGACAAGGATGTTTTCAAAATAAAGGCACACAATCCATTTGTAAATCTTTAGAATATATGAAAGTCTAATCAGACTGACTAGACAGCCAAACCCTGGCGTATCTCATTTGAATTCTCTCTTTCCCCAGGCCTTGTCTACTAGAAATATGCATACATTGTATTGGAAGTAGAAAGCATGAATGATAACAATGCTCAGCCCTGGTGCAGTCCTGAATGTATTGTAGTTTGAAATGCATCTAAGCATTTACCTTCTTCAAATACTGGGTGTAGCTGCACCAGCCTTGTACAATGCGTATTATTGTCACCAACAATATAGTCCTGAAGCAACCCAACCCTGCCCTGCCCCACTTTTCCTGGCTGTTAGCAGTTGGTGGTGTTTTCTGCAGTAATACAGCCATCAAACAGCAATACATGTTTTTGGTTTGGGAGATGAGCAGGGATCTTGCACACCCTGCTCCTGTGAGTGGTTCCTCCTTTCAGGAGGGGTCCTGTTGAGTGCAGTTGTGTGGCTGTGATTTGTAGGCCTTCTCTCCGCTCTGAGTATTCTCCTGCTGCCTTCAGATGACAATTTGTTGTACGAAGTATATTGAGCTGCTGGCTGGTTTGGATTTGCAGCGTTACCTGTCACAGCCTGTATGTAAACAGCAGCACTGAAATCAGTGTTCTCCAAGGCTGTCTCTCTTACAGCACCCGTTTGAAATGTCTTTCTTCTCGATGACAGGCATTTGAGGAAAAACCTTGCTACCCAGGAAGCAGCAAGTTAAGTGTTTCTGAACAGTGTAGGTAGTGAAATTCTGCCTCCCTTAGAGGAAGGGCCAGAGTAGCCCCTTCCAGTAGTGTGATGGCACTGCTGGCAACAGCAAAGGCCATTTCTGTGCTCATGGCTTGGTGGGAGCAACGGGGAGGCCTCAAGGGGGTTGTTTGGGCTGTGGAGAAGAGGGGCTGGGAAAAATGACCCTGGTAGGGTGGTAGGGCTGTGAAAGTCTGTAGAAGAGAAGTTTCTTCCTTCCACTGTAGTTTGAGGGCTGCAAGGGCCTTCTAGAGGGACTTGATGGGGCCATTGTTACACTGCTTTGGTCCAGGCCCTTTGATGGCAGATGG